GAGTGGGTGAGTGAGTGGGTAGGTGAGTGTGTGAGCTAGTGGTGAGTGCGTGGGTGAGTGTGTGGGTGAGTGAGTGGGTGAGTGAGTGGGTAGGTGAGTGTGTGAGCTAGTGGTGAGTGGGTAGGTGAGTGTGTGGGTGAGCTAGTGGTGAGTGTGTGGGTGAGTGAGTGGGTAGGTGAGTGTGTGAGCTAGTGGTGAGTGTGTGGGTGAGCTAGTGGTGAGTGTGGGTGAGCTAGTGGTGAGTGTGTGGGTGAGCTAGTGGTGAGTGTGGGTGAGCTAGTGGTGAGTGTGTGGGTGAGCTAGTGGTGAGTGGGTGAGCTAGTGGTGAGTGTGTGGGTGAGCTAGTGGTGAGTGTGTGGGTGAGCTAGTGGTGAGTGTGTGGGTGAGCTAGTGGTGAGTGTGTGGGTGAGCTAGTGGTGAGTGTGTGGGTGAGCTAGTGGTGAGTGTGTGAGCTAGTGGTGAGTGTGTGGGTGAGCTAGTGGTGAGTGTGTGGGTGAGTGTGTGGGTGAGTGTGTGGGTGAGCTAGTGGTGAGTGTGTGGGTGAGCTAGTGGTGAGTGTGTGGGTGAGCTAGTGGTGAGTGTGTGGGTGAGCTAGTGGTGAGTGTGTGGGTGAGCTAGTGGTGAGTGTGTGGGTGAGTGTGTGGGTAGGTGAGTGTGTGGGTGAGCTAGTGGTGAGTGGGTGAGCTAGTGGTGAGTGTGTGGGTGAGCTAGTGGTGAGTGTGTGGGTGAGCTAGTGGTGAGTGTGTGAGCTAGTGGTGAGTGTGTGGGTGAGCTAGTGGTGAGTGTGTGGGTGAGTGTGTGGGTGAGTGTGTGGGTGAGCTAGTGGTGAGTGTGTGGGTGAGCTAGTGGTGAGTGTGTGGGTGAGCTAGTGGTGAGTGTGTGGGTGAGCTAGTGGTGAGTGTGTGGGTGAGCTAGTGGTGAGTGTGTGGGTGAGTGTGTGGGTAGGTGAGTGTGTGGGTGAGCTAGTGGTGAGTGGGTGAGCTAGTGGTGAGTGTGTGGGTGAGTGGGTGGGTGAGTGGGTGAGCTAGTGGTGAGTGTGTGAGCTAGTGGTGAGTGTGTGAGCTAGTGGTGAGTGTGTGGGTGAGCTAGTGGTGAGTGTGTGGGTGAGTGTGTGGGTGAGTGTGTGGGTGAGCTAGTGGTGAGTGTGTGGGTGAGCTAGTGGTGAGTGTGTGGGTGAGCTAGTGGTGAGTGTGTGAGCTAGTGGTGAGTGTGTGGGTGAGCTAGTGGTGAGTGTGTGGGTGAGCTAGTGGTGAGTGTGTGGGTGAGCTAGTGGTGAGTGTGTGGGTGAGCTAGTGGTGAGTGTGTGGGTGAGCTAGTGGTGAGTGTGTGAGCTAGTGGTGAGTGTGTGGGTGAGCTAGTGGTGAGTGTGTGGGTGAGCTAGTGGTGAGTGTGTGGGTGAGTGTGTGGGTAGGTGAGTGTGTGGGTGAGCTAGTGGTGAGTGGGTGAGCTAGTGGTGAGTGTGTGGGTGAGTGGGTGGGTGAGTGGGTGAGCTAGTGGTGAGTGTGTGAGCTAGTGGTGAGTGTGTGAGCTAGTGGTGAGTGTGTGGGTGAGCTAGTGGTGAGTGTGTCGGTGGGATCAGGCGGAGTGCGTCTTACAATTCGGCAAAAAGCCGTGAGCATCAACACAGCAGCCAATGGTGCCGACTCGTCAAATCGATGTCGAGAGCACACCTACACAGACACAGCTCCCCCAGGTAGCCTCTAGCAGGCTGTAGGGGCAAGTGCTGTTAGTAGCACCTACACACAGACAAAGATCCCCCAGGTAGCCTCTAGCAGGCTGTAGGGGCAAGTGCTGTTAGTAGCACCTACACACAGACAAAGATCCCCCAGGTAGCATCTAGCAGGCTGTAGGGGCAAGTGCCAGGTTCTATTCACTGCTGGATGACTTCACCATCACCACCAGCCAGGTTCTATTCACTGCTGGATGACTTCACCACCACCACCACCAGCCAGGTTCTATTAACTGCTGGATGACTTCACCACCACCACCACCACCAGCCAGGTTCTATTCACTGCTGGATGACTTCACCATCACCACCACCAGCCAGGTTCTATTCACCGCTGGATGACTTCACCATCACCACCACCAGCCAGGTTCCATTCACTGCTAGATGACTTCACCATCACCACACCACCACCAGCCAGGTTCTATTCACTGCTGGATGACGTCACCATCACCACCACCAGCCAGGTTCTATTCACTGCTGGATGACTTCACCATCACCACCAGCCAGGTTCTATTCACTGCTAGATGACTTCACCATCACCACCACCACCACCAGCCAGGTTCTATTCACTGCTAGATGACTTCACCACCAGCCAGGTTCTATTCACTGCTGGATGACGTCACCATCACCACCACCACCACCCAGGTTCTATTCACTGCTAGATGACGTCACCATCACCACCACCAGCCAGGCTCTATTCACTGCTGGATGACGTCACCACCACCAGCCAGGTTCTATTCACTGCTGGATGACTTCACCACCACCACCAGCCAGGTTCTATTCACTGCTGGATGACTTCACCATCACCACCAGCCAGGTTCTATTCACTGCTGGATGACGTCACCATCACCACCACCACCCAGGTTCTATTCACTGCTAGATGACGTCACCATCACCACCACCAGCCAGGTTCTATTCACTGCTGGATGACGTCACCACCACCAGCCAGGTTCTATTCACTGCTGGATGACTTCACCACCAGCCAGGTTCTATTCACCGCTGGATGACTTCACCACCACCACCACCCAGGTTCTATTCACTGCTGGATGACTTCACCATCACCACCAGCCAGGTTCTATTCACTGCTAGATGACTTCACCACCAGCCAGGTTCTATTCACTGCTAGATGACTTCACCACCACCAGCCAGGTTCTATTCACCGCTGGATGACTTCACCATCACCACCAGCCAGGTTCTATTCACTGCTAGATGACTTCACCACCACCACCACCCAGGTTCTATCCACTGCTAGATGACTTCACCACCAGCCAGGTTCTATTCACTGCTAGATGACTTCACCACCAGCCAGGTTCTATTCACTGCTAGATGACTTCACCACCACCAGCCAGGTTCTATTCACTGCTGGATGACTTCACCATCACCACCACCAGCCAGGTTCTATTCACTGCTAGATGACTTCACCACCACCACCACCCAGGTTCTATTCACTGCTGGATGACTTCACCACCACCACCACCCAGGTTCTATTCACTGCTAGATGACTTCACCACCAGCCAGGTTCTATTCACTGCTAGATGACTTCACCACCACCAGCCAGGTTCTATTCACTGCTGGATGACTTCACCATCACCACCAGCCAGGTTCTATTCACTGCTAGATGACTTCACCACCACCACCACCCAGGTTCTATCCACTGCTAGATGACTTCACCACCAGCCAGGTTCTATTCACTGCTGGATGACTTCACCATCACCACCAGCCAGGTTCTATTCACCGCTGGATGACTTCACCATCACCACCAGCCAGGTTCTATTCACTGCTAGATGACTTCACCATCACCACCACCAGCCAGGTTCTATTCACTGCTGGATGACTTCACCATCACCACCAGCCAGGTTCTATTCACTGCTGGATGACTTCACCATCACCACCAGCCAGGTTCTATTCACTGCTAGATGACTTCACCATCACCACCACCAGCCAGGTTCTATTCACTGCTGGATGACGTCACCACCACCACCAGCCAGGTTCTATTCACTGCTGGATGACTTCACCATCACCACCAGCCAGGTTCTATTCACTGCTGGATGACTTCACCATCACCACCACCACCCAGGTTCTATCCACTGCTAGATGACTTCACCACCAGCCAGGTTCTATTCACTGCTGGATGACTTCACCACCACCACCAGCCAGGTTCTATTCACTGCTGGATGACTTCACCATCACCATCACCACCAGCCAGGTTCTATTCACTGCTGGATGACTTCACCATCACCACCAGCCAGGTTCTATTCACTGCTGGATGACGTCACCACCACCAGCCAGGCTCTATTCACTGCTAGATGACATCATCACCACCACCAGCCAGGTTCTATTCACTGCTGGATGACTTCAACACCACCACCAGCCAGGTTCTATTCACTGCTAGATGACGTCACCACCACCACCAGCCAGGTTCTATTCACTGCTGGATGACTTCACCATCACCACCAGCCAGGTTCTATTCACTGCTGGATGACTTCACCATCACCACCAGCCAGGTTCTATTCACTGCTGGATGACTTCACCATCACCACCAGCCAGGTTCTACTCACTGCTGGATGACTTCACCAACATCACCACCAGCCAGGTTCTATTCACTGCTGGATGACTTCACCACCATCACCACCAGCCAGGTTCTATTCACTGCTGGATGACGTCACCACCACCAGCCAGGTTCTATTCACTGCTAGATGACTTCACCACCACCACCAGCCAGGTTCTATCCACTGCTGGATGACGTCACCACCACCAGCCAGGTTCTACTCACTGCTGGATGACGTCACCATCACCACCACCAGCCAGGTTCTATTCACCGCTGGATGACGTCACCACCACTAGCCAGGTTCTATTCACTGCTGGATGACATCACCACCACCCAGGTTCTACTCACTGCTGGATGACTTCACCACCACCACTAGCCAGGTTCTATTCACTGCTGGATGATGGCAGCCATCGCTGGCCGTGACGACGCTTGGGACACCGGCGGTAAAACGCCTAAAGGCCGTCATTCTGACCGCCAAGCCCTCGCCATTAGCGTAACGGAACCGTAACAATAACAACCAGTCTCGTAAACCTACCATCAATAATAATAATCGGTGAGGGGGCTTCAGGGCGGCTACGGTTGGCTTCTGCGGGCGGCCCAGCTTAGGCTTCCCGCGAAGGAAACTAGGCGAGGCCGCCCCCTCCCCTCCCTCACGTCCCCACCCCCAAATATTTTTTTTATTTTTTTAAATTTAAATCGCCGCCGTTCACCGTCCGTGTCTCTTACCGGGACGCGGTCCGGGTACTTCTTGCGGATCTTCTCCCCCTCAGACCGCCTCTTCTCGAACGGGTGCTCCTCTTTGTATTGCCACTTCATCGCTGCTGTAAGCTCGCGCGCTCGCTGCTTGATGCTGCTGATGATGATGGCGGAAGTTGAAATGGCGGGGAGCGTCTTCCGGTTTCGTTCTGCCCCGCCTCGCCACTTCCGGCGGAGCCGCCTGACCGTATTAGGCGATTTCCGGTGGCCGACCCGCCCGCCCGCCCGCCCGCCGCAAACCACCCCGCCCCATCTCGTGAATATTCATGAGCTTAATGGCAATACGACCACGCCCATCGCAGTGAAAAGCAACGGGGAAAGGGGCGCGGCGACGATAATGAGACCACGCCCACTTATATGACGTCACTCGCATGCCGACGCCCTCTTCCCTTGATGGTGTGACCGGACGGCCCCCCCCCTCACTTATGAATATGTTGATGAGGGCACGCGCCTCCATCTCATGAATATGTTAAGGTTCTCACGTGCCCTCCAGCTCTCTCATTAATATGTTAATGAAGTCACGTGCCCTCCCCCTCTCTCATGAAGATGTTAATGACGTCACGTGCCCTCCCCCTCTCTCATGAATATGTTAATGAAGTCTATGGGAGACTTTAACATTGGAGTCTATGGGAGACTTTAACATTGGAGTCTATGGGAGACTTTAACATTGGAGTCTATGGGAGACTTTAACATTGGAGTCTATGGGTAGACACTTTAACATTGAAGTCTATGGGTAGAGACTTTAACATTGATGTCTATGGGTAGAGACTTTAACATTGGAGTCTGTGGGTAGACACTTTAACATTGGAGTCTATGGGTAGAAACTTTAACATTGGAGTCTATGGGAGACTTTAACATTGGAGTCTATGGGACACTTCAACATTGAAGCCTATGGGTAGAGACTTTAACATTGGAGTCTATGGGTAGACACTTTAACATTGGAGTCTATGGGAGACTTTAGCATTGGAGTCTATGGGTAGACACTTTAACATTGGAGTCTATGGGTAGACACTTTAACATTGGAGTCTATGGGTAGACACTTTAACATTGGAGTCTATGGGTAGACACTTTAACATTGGAGTATATGGGTAGACACTTTAACATTGGAGTCTATGGTTAGACACTTTAACATTGGAGTCTATGGGTAGACACTTTAACATTGGAAGCTATGGGTAGACACTTTAACATTGGAGTCTATGGGTAGACACTTTAACATTGGAGTCTATGGGTAGACACTTTAACATTGGAGTCTATGGGTAGACACTTTAACATTGGAGTCTATGGGTAGACACTTTAACATTGGAGTCTATGGGTAGACACTTTAACATTGGAGTCTATGGGTAGACACTTTAACATTGGAGTCTATGGGTAGACACTTTAACATTGGAGTCTATGGGTAGACACTTTAACATTGGAGTCTATGGGTAGATACTTTAACATTGGAGTCTATGGGTAGACACTTTAACATTGGAGTCTATGGGTAGACACTTTAACATTGGAGTCTATGGGTAGACACTTTAACATTGGAGTCTATGGGTAGACACTTTAACATTGGAGTCTATGGGTAGACACTTTAACATTGGAGTCTATGGGTAGACACTTTAACACTGGAGTCTATGGGTAGACACTTTAACATTGGAGTCTATGGGTAGACACTTTAACATTGGAGTCTATGGGTAGACACTTTAACATTGGAGTCTATGGGTAGACACTTTAACATTGGAGTCTATGGGTAGACACTTTAACATTGGAGTCTATGGGTAGACACTTTAACATTGGAGTCTATGGGTAGACACTTTAACATTGGAGTCTATGGGTAGACACTTTAACGTTGGAGTCTATGGGTAGACACTTTAACATTGGAGTCTATGGGTAGACACTTTAACATTGGAGTCTATGGGTAGACACTTTAACATTGGAGTCTATGGGTAGACACTTTAACATTGGAGTCTATGGGTAGACACTTTAACATTGGAGTCTATGGGTAGACACTTTAACATTGGAGTCTATGGGTAGACACTTTAACATTGGAGTCTATGGGTAGACACTTTAACATTGGAGTCTTATTCTCGTAATTAACGACGGGTTGAAAAATGTTGACCTCAGTAAAGTAGTCCCCCATCACCACCCCGCGGCGCATGAATACAACCGCGCCCACCCACCCCACGCTCACAACAACAGCAGCGGCTATGCCGCTGCTGTTGTTGAGGGGGGAAAGGGAGGAGAGGAGGGGGAGGGGGCAGGCCCCCCCGGCATAATTTCGCGCCTCGCCCGTGGCGTCGAACAACAAAAAAAACGGCGCCTTCCGCGACTTTTTTCCCACCGCGTGAGCCGATCGCGCGACGGCACTATTTTGTTTTTGTTAAAATAAATAATTAACTCGTGCGGCCGCCTCACCCCCCGCCGCCGCCGCGGAAGGAGTCGCCGCGGCGGCGGTGAGGCGGTTTTCTTTTTGTTGGTGCGTCACGCGCGCGCGCAGTCACGCGCTCCGCGAGGCTCACGTGACCGCCCCCGCTGATCACCCCCCCACCACCACCACGGGCGGCGGGTGACGTCACTCAGCCAAAAGTGGGCGTGGCACCTGCTCCGGGGGTCACGCCTACATCCGAGCCATCGGCCCCGCCCCCCCCGTCTCACTACGCCCCCTCCCCCCGGATTAGAATTCCCACACGGATAGGCGGCCACGCGCTTTGTAAAGCGCACAGCGGATAAGCGACCCTGTTTACCATCAGGGTCATTTGATTTGATGCTGTAATCAATATAAGCGCAGGAGGAATCCGAGGGGCTATGAAGCTCTTTAACACAGCTGTCCGGTATAGGAAAGGTAAACAACATCCCTTCAGAAAAAAACATTAACTGTGTACATGTAGATGTAAAGACACACCACCACTAATTTTAGAAAGTATCTTAAAACAGGGAAAACACCACCAACATATTAGGATTATTTTTTTCAGAAAGTTGCGGATATCATCATCACGGTGGGAAGATGTTAACTACCTCGCCAGGTATACAGGAGGTCGTGGGTTCCATCCCTGGTCCCTGTGAGATGTTCACTACTTCGCCTGGTATACAGGAGGTCGTGGGTTCGATCCCGGACCCTGTGAGATGTTGACTACCTCGCCTGGTGTACAGGAGGTCGTGGGTTCGATCCCAGACCCTGTGAGATGTTGACTACCTCGCCTGGTATACAGGAGGTCGTGGGTTCGATCCCAGACCCTGTGAGATGTTCACTACCTCGCCTGGTCTACAGGAGGTCGTGGGTTCGATCCCGGACCCTGTGAGATGTTCACTACCTCGCCTGGTATACAGGAGTTCGTGGGTTTGATCCGAGACCCTGTGAGATGTTGACTACCTCGCCTGGTATACAGAAGGTCGTAGGTTCGATCCCAGACCCTGTGAGATGTTTACTACCTCGCCAGATCTACAGGAGGTAGTGAGTTCGATCCCGGACCCTGTGAGATGTTGACTACCTTGCCTGGTCTACAGGAGGTCGTGGGTTCCATCCCGGACCCTGTGAGATGTTAACTACCTCGCCTGGTATACAGGAGGTCGTGGGATGGATCCCAGACCCTGTGAGATGTTAACTACCTCACCTGGTATACAGGAGGTCGTGGGTTCGATCCTAGACCTTGTGAGATGTTGGCTACCTCGCCTGGTATACAGGAGGTCGTGGGTTCGATCCCGGACCCTGTGAGATGTTGACTACCTCGCCTGGCCTACAGGAGGTCGTGGGTTCGATCCCGGACCCTGTGAGATGTTCACTACATCGCCTGGTCTACAGGAGGTCGTGGGTTCGATCCCGGACCCTGTGAGATGTTGACTACCTCGCCTGGCCTACAGGAGGTCGTGGGTTCGATCCCGGACCCTGTGAGATGTTCACTACCTCGCCTGGTCTACAGGAGGTCGTGGGTTCGATCCCGGACCCTGTGAGATGTTGACTACCTCGCCCGGTCTACAGGAGGTCGTGGGTTTGATCCCTGACCCTGTGAGATGTTGACTACCTCGCCAGGTATACAGGAGGTAGTGAGTTCGATCCCGGACCCTGTGAGATGTTGACTACCTCGCCTGGTATACAGGAGGTCGTGGGTTCCATCTCGGACCCTGTGAGATGTTAACTACCTCGCCTGGTGTACAGGAGGTCGTGGGTTCGGTCCTAGACCTTGTGAGATGTTGACTACCTCGCCTGGTATACAGGAGGTCGTGGGTTCGATCCCGGACCCTATGAGATGTTGACTACCTCGGTAGGCCTACAGGAGGTCGTGGGTTCGATCCCGGACCCTGTGAGATGTTCACTACCTCGCCTGGTATACACGAGGTCGTGGGTTCGATCCCGGACCCTGTGAGATGTTGACTACCTCGCCTGGACTACAGGAGGTCGTGGATTCGATCCCGGACCCTGTGAGATGTTGACTACCTCGACTGGCATACAGGAGGTCGTGGGATCGACCCCAGACCCTGTGAGATGTTGACTACCTCGCCGGGTACACAGGAGGTCGTGGGTTCGATCCCGGACCCTGTGAGATGTTAACTACCTCGCCTGATATACAGGAGGTCGTGGGATGGATCCCAGACCCTGTGAGATGTTAACTACCTCGCCTGGTATACAGGAGGTCGTGGGTTCGATCCTAGACCTTGTGAGATGTTGACTACCTCGCCTGGTCTACAGGAGGTCGTGGGTTCGATCCCAGACCCTGTGAGATGTTGACTACCTCGCCTGGTATAAAGGAGGTCGTGGGTTCGATCCCAGACCGTGTGAGATGTTGACTACCTCGCCTGATATACATGAGGTCGTGGGATCGATCCCAGACCCTGTGAGATGTTAACTACTTCCCCTGGTATACAGGAGGTAGTGGGTTCGATCTCAGACCCTGTGAAATGTTGACTACCTCGCCAGGTCTACAGGAGGTCGTGCGTTCGATCCCAGACCGTGTGAGATGTTGATTACCTCGCCTGGTATACAGAAGGTCGGGGGTTCGATCCCAGACCCTGTGAGATGTTTACTACTTCCCTGGTCTACAGGAGGTCGTGGGTTCGATCCGAGACCCTGTGAGATGTTGACTACCTCGCCTGGTATACAGGAGGTCGTGGGATCGATCCCGGACCCTGTGAGATGTTGACTACCTCGCCTGGTATACAGGAGGGCGTCGTTTCGATCCCAGACCCTATGAGATGTTGACTACCTCGCCAGGTCTACAGGAGGTCGTGGATTCGATCCGAGACCCTATGAGATGTTGACTACCTCGCCTGGTCTACAGGAGGTCGTGGGTTCGATCCCGGACCCTGTGAGATGTTGACTACCTTGCCTGGTCTATAGGAGGTCGTGGGTTCGATCCCTGGACCCTGTGAAATGTTGACTACCTCGCCTGGTCGACAGGTCGTGGGTTCGATCCCGGACCCTGTGAGATGTTGACTACCTCGCCTGGTCTACAGGAGGTCGTGGATTCGATCCCGGAACCTGTGATATGTTGACTACCTCGCCTGGTATACACGAAGTCGTGGGTTCGATCCCAGACCCTGTGAGATGTTAACTACCTCGCCTGGTATACAGGAGGTTGTGGGTTCGATCCTAGACCTTGTGAGATGTTGACTACCTCGCCTGGTATAAAGGAGGTCGTGGGTTCGATCCCGGACCCTGTGAGATGTTGACTACCTCGCCTGGCATACAGGAGGTCGTGGGTTCGATCCCGGACCCTGTGAGATGTTGACTACCTCGCCTGGTATACACGAAGTCGTGGGTTCGATCCCAGACCCTGTGAGATGTTAACTACCTCGCCTGGTATACAGGAGGTCGTGGGTTTGATCCCAGACCCCGTGAGATGTTGATTACCTCGCCTGATCTACAGGAGGTCGTGGGTTCGATCCCAGACCCTGTGAGATGTTGACTACCTCGCCAGATCTACAGGAGGTCGTGGTTTCCATCCTGGACCGTGAGATGTTGACTACCTCGCCTGGTATACAGAAGGTCGTGGGTTCGATCCCCGACCCTGTCAGATGTTGACTGCCTCGCCTGGTCTACAGGTCGTGGGTTCGATCCCGGACCCTGTGAGATGTTGACTGCCTCGCCTGGTCTACAGGAGGTCGTGGGTTCGATCCCAGACCCTGTGAGATGTTGACTACCTCGCCAGATCTACAGGAGGTCGTGGTTTCCATCCTGGACCGTGAGATGTTGACTCCCTCGCCTGATCTACAGGAGGTCCTGGGTTCGATCCCGGACCCTGTGAGATGTTGACTACCTCGCCTGGTATACAGAAGGTCGTGGGTTCGATCCCCGACCCTGTCAGATGTTGACTGCCTCGCCTGGTATACAGGAGGTCGTGGGTTCGATCCCGGACCCTGTGAGATGTTGACTCCCTCGCCTGATATACAGGAGGTCCTGGGTTCGATCCCGGACCCTGTGAGATGTTGACTACCTCGCCTGGTATACAGGAGGTCGTGGGTTCGATCCCGGACCCTGTGAGATGTTGACTACCTCGCCTGGTGTACAGGAGGCCGTGGGTTCGATCCCGGACCCTGTGAGATGTTGACTACCTCGCCTGGTGTACAGGAGGTCGTGGGTTCGATCCCGGACCCTGTGAGATGTTGACTACCTCGCCTGGTATACAGGAGGTCGTGGGTTCGATCCCAGACCCTGTGAGATGTTGACTACCTCGCCTGCTATACAGGTTGTGGGTTCGATCGCGGACCGTGAGATGTTGACTACCTCGCCTGGTATACAGGAGGTCGTGGGTTCGATCCCTGACCCTAACGCCATGGTGGCAGGGAGATTGTTCACCATCTGCTCACCTCACCCAGCCATCCACGCACTCACATTCACTCACCAACCCATCAGCTCACTCACCAACCCACACACACCACCCACCAACTCTCACCCACCCACCCCATCGAGACATGCACTCATCCCCACCCGCTGACAACAACTTTATTGACAACATGAACATCGATTACTTTAAGCAAATATTCAACAACTTTATCGACAGCATCGCATGTTCAGCGGGTCACGTGTACACAGGCGCGAGCGCGTGTCGGTGGGTGTGTGTCAGTGTGTGTGTATACACTGTGTGTGTGTGTTAGTGTGTGTGTGTACACTGTGTGTCGGTGTGTGTACACTGTGTGTGTCAGTGTGTTAGTGTGTACACTGTGTGTGTACACTGTGTGTGTGTACGTAAGTGTGTGTGTACACTGTGTGTCAGTGTGTTAGTGTGTGTGTGTCAGTGTGTGTACACTGTGCGCGTGTGTCAGTGTGTGTGTACACTGTGTGTCAGTGTGTTAGTGTGTGTCAGTGTGTGTACACTGTGCGTGTGTGTCAATGTGTGTGTGTCAGTGTGTGTGTACACTGTGTCAGTGTGTTAGTGTGTGTCAGTGTGTACACTGTGCGTGTGTGTCAATGTGTGTGTGTCAGTGTGTGTGTACACTGTGTCAGTGTGTTAGTGTGTGTCAGTGTGTGTACACTGTGCGTGTGTGTCAATGTGTGTGTGTCAGTGTGTGTGCCTCAAATCAGTTACCTAGTGTAGTGGTGTAGTGAACATCGCCAGTACTGGGGGAGAGACAAAGGCGGCCGGGCGTGGTGGTGCTGGAAGCCACCCCCTCTGTGTGTGTAGCCACAGTGCCGGTAGCCTTCATTGGCGCTGCTACTCGCTACTGACAGCACTTGCCCCTACAGCCTGCTAGAGGCTACCTGGGGGATCTTTGTCTGTGTGTAGGTGCTACTGACAGCACTTGCCCCTACAGCCTGCTAGATGCTACCCGGGGGATCTTTGTCTGTGTGTAGGTGCTACTGACAGCACTTGCCCCTACAGCCTGCTAGAGGCTACCCGGGGGATCTTTGTCTGTGTGTATGTGCTGCTACTGACAGCACTTGCCCCTACAGCCTGCTAGAGGCTACCTGGGGGATCTTTGTCTGTGTGTAGGTGCTACTGACAGCACTTGCCCCTACAGCCTGCTAGAGGCTACACGGGGGATCTTTGTCTGTGTGTAGGTGCTACTGACAGCACTTGCCCCTACAGCCTGCTAAAGGCTACACGGGGGATCTTTGTCTGTGTGTGGGTGCTACTGACAGCACTTGCCCCTACAGCCTGCTAGAGGCTACACGGGGGATCTTTGTCTGTGTGTAGGTGCTACTAACAGCACTTGCCCCTACAGCCTGCTAGAGGCTACACGGGGGATCTTTGTCTGTGTGTAGGTGCTACTGGCGATGATTGTTTGATAACAGCGATGACACACACACACGGGGTAGAGACATCTCCACCACCACACCGATCTCCATACAGCAGTGGATAGACCCTGGTCGTGGTGGTTATACACTGAGAGACAGAGATGGTGGAACACGTGGGTAAGTGAGTGAATGATTGAGTGAGTGTGTGAATGAGAGAGTGAATGAGAGAGTGAATGAGTGAATGAGCGAGTGAATGAGCGTGTGAATGAGCGAGTGAATGAGCGAGTGAATGAGCGAGCGAGTGAGAGAGTGAGTGAATGAGCCAGTGAATGAGCGAGTGAATGAGAGAGTGATTGAATGAGTGAGTGAATGAGAGAGTGAATGAATGAGCGAGTGAGTGAGTGAGCGAGTGAATGAGCGAGCGTCTCTCTGAGTGAGCGGGCAACCGTTCTGTACAGGCGAGGATGGTGGGCGGTTGTGACTTTGCCCATCCCTTCCCTCTCCCCCCACCACCCACCCACCACCACCCACCCACCCACCACCCCCCACTAATCTAGAGGTGCAAGGTAGTGGGCACAGCCGTTGGCGGCGATGATGGCGGCGATGGCGGCGATGGTGGCTGTGTCCACCCACCACCCCACTACCCTCCCACCCCCCCACCACCACCCCCCCACCACCACCACCCCCCCACTAGTCGTGCAGGTACTGCCGCCGCTTGTTGAGCCGCGCCTGGCACAGGGCCCACAACCCAAGGCCCACGTAGAGTGCGGCAGCGATGAAGCAGTTGTAGGAAACTTGCTCAAACGCAGCGTGGACAGGCCCAATCTGGTCCCTGGAGGGGAGTGGGGGGCGCGGTGGGGGGCACGGTGGGGGGCACGGTGGGGGGCACGGTGGGGGGAGAGTTAGTGGGGGGGGGGGACACACAGCAGGAGAGAGGGGAGGGGTGATGATGATGGAGTTGTGGGGGATCTGCTCAAACGCAGCGTGGACAGGCCCCCAGCAGGTGGTGGTGACGGTGGTGGTGGTGATGGTGGTGGTGATGGTGGTGATGGTGACGATGGTGGTGATGGTGGTGGTGATGGTGGTGGTGGTGATGGTGGTGATGGTGGTGATGGCAGTAGTGGCGGTGATGGTGGTGATGGTGGTGATGGTGGTGGTGCTGATGGTGGTGATGGTGGTGATGGTGGTGGTGACGGTGGTGGTGACGGTGGTGATGGTGGTGGTGATGGCGGTGATGGTGGTGGTGATGGCGGTGATGGTGATGGTGGTGAGTGATGGTGGTGGGTGATGGTGGTGGTGATGGTGGTGGTGATGGTGGTGATGGTGGTGATGATGGTGATGGTGCTGATGGTGGTGATGGTGGTGATGGTGGTGGTGACGGTGGTGATGGTGGTGGTGATGGCGGTGGTGATGGCACTGATGGTGGTGGTGGTGATGGCGGTGATGGCACTGATGGTGGTGATGCTGATGGTGGATCTCACTTCTCAATGTCCGCTGGGTCATAAGGGACATCGTCCAGGAGGATAGCCGAGTGGACATTGAAGAACACACCCAGTAGCACCTGGAGACACGGGGAGAGAGAGACACGGGGAGAGAGAGACACGGGGAGAGAGAGACACGGGGAGAGGGAGACACGGGGGGAGAGAGACACGGGGAGAGGGAGACACGGGGAGAGAGAGACACGGGGAGAGAGAGACACGGGGAGAGGGAGACACGGGGGGAGAGAGACACGGGGAGAGGGAGACACGGGGAGAGAGAGACACGGGGAGAGGGAGACACGGGGAGAGGGAGACACGGGGAGAGGGAGACACGGGGAGAGGGAGACACGGGGAGAGGGAGACACGGGGGGAGAGAAAGACACGGGGAGAGGGAGACGGGGAGAGGGAGACACGGGGGGAGAGAGACACGGGGGGAGAGAGACACGGGGAGAGAGAGACACGGGGAGAGAGAGACACGGGGAGAGAGAGACACGGGGAGAGGGAGACACGGGGAGAGAGAGACACGGGGAGAGGGAGACACGGGGGGAGAGAGACACGGGGAGAGGGAGACACGGGGAGAGAGAGACACGGGGAGAGGGAGACACGGGGAGAGGGAGACACGGGGAGAGGGAGACACGGGGAGAGGGAGACACGGGGAGAGGGAGACACGGGTGGAGAGAAAGACACGGGGAGAGGGAGACGGGGAGAGGGAGACACGGGGGGAGAGAGACACGGGGGGAGAGAGACACGGGGAGAGAGAGACACGGGGAGAGAGAGACACGGGGAGAGGGAGACACGGGGGAGAGAGACACGGGGAGAGGGAGACACGGGGAGAGGGAGACACGGGGAGAGAGAGACACGGGGGGAGAGAGACACGGGGAGAGGGAGACACGGGGAGAGAGAGACACGGGGGGAGAGAGACACGGGGAGGGAGACACGGGGAGAGGGAGACACGGGGAGAGAGAGACACGGGGGGAGAGAGACACGGGGAGAGGGAGACACGGGGAGAGAGAGACACGGGGGGAGAGAGACACGGGGAGAGGGAGACACGGGGGGAGAGAGACACGGGGAGAGAGAGACACGGGGAGAGAGAGACGGGGTAGAGAGAGACACGGGGAGAGAGGGAGACACGGGAAGAGAGGGAGACACGGGGGGAGAGAGACACGGGGGGAGAGAGACACGGGGAGAGAGAGACACGGGGAGAGAGAGACACGGGGAGAGAGAGACACGGGGGGAGGGAGACACGGGGAGAGGGAGACACGGGGGGGGAGAGAGACACGGGGAGAGGGAGACACGGGGAGAGGGAGACACGGGGGGGAGAGAGACACGGGGAGAAGGAGACACGGGGAGAAGGAGACACGGGGAGAGGGAGACACGGGGAGAGGGAGACACGGGGAGAGAGAGACACGGGGAGAGAGAGACACGGGGGGAGAGAGACACGGGGAGAGAGACACGGGGGGAGAGAGACACGGGGGGAGAGAGACACGGGGAGAGACACGGGGGGAGAGAGACACGGGGGGAGAGACACGGGGAGAGAGAGACACGGGGAGAGAGAGACACGGGAGAAGAGAGACACGGGGGGAGAGAGACACGGGGAGAGGGAGACACGGGGAGAGAGAGACACGGGGAGAGGGAGACACGGGGAGAGAGAGACACGGGGAGAGGGAGTCACGGGGAGAGGGAGACACGGGGAGAGAGAGACACGGGGAGAGACACGGGGAGAGAGAGACACGGGGAGAGAGAGACACAGGGAGACACGGGGGGAGAGAGACACGGGGAGAGAGAGACACGGGGAGAGAGAGACACGGGGAGAGAGAGACACGGGGAGAGGGAGACACGGGGAGAGGGAGACACGGGGAGAGAGAGACACGGGGAGAGGGAGACACGGGGGGAGAGAGACACGGGGGGAGAGAGACACGGGGAGAGAGAGAGAGACGGGGAGAGGGAGACACGGGGAGAGGGAGACACGGGGGGAGAGAGACACGGGGAGAGAGACACGGGGAGAGAGAGACACGGGGAGAGAGAGACACGGGGAGAGAGAGACACGGGGAGAGAGAGACACGGGGAGAGAGAGACACGGGGAGAGAGAGACACGGGGAGAGAGAGACACGGGGAGAGGGAGACACGGGGAGAGGGAGACACGGGGAGAGGGAGACACGGGGAGAGGGAGACACGGGGAGAGGGAGACACGGGGGGAGAGGGAGACACGGGGAGAGGGAGACACGGGGGGAGAGACACGGGGGGAGAGAGACACGGGGAGAGGGAGACACGGGGGGAGAGAGACACGGGGAGAGAGACACGGGGGGAGAGAGACACGGGGAGAGACACGGGGGGAGAGAGACACGGGGGGAGAGAGACACGGGGGGAGAGACACGGGGAGAGAGAGACACGGGGAGAGAGAGACACGGGAGAAGAGAGACACGGGGGGAGAGAGACACGGGGAGAGGGAGACACGGGGAGAGAGAGACACGGGGAGAGGGAGACACGGGGAGAGAGAGACACGGGGAGAGGGAGTCACGGGGAGAGGGAGACACGGGGAGAGAGAGACACGGGGAGAGACACGGGGAGAGAGAGACACGGGGAGAGAGAGACACAGGGAGACACGGGGGGAGAGAGACACGGGGAGAGAGAGACACGGGGAGAGAGAGACACGGGGAGAGAGAGACACGGGGAGAGAGAGACACGGGGAGAGGGAGACACGGGGAGAGGGAGACACGGGGAGAGAGAGACACGGGGAGAGGGAGACACGGGGGGAGAGAGACACGGGGGGAGAGAGACACGGGGGGAGAGAGACACGGGGAGAGAGAGAGAGACGGGGATAGGGAGACACGGGGAGAGGGAGACACGGGGGGAGAGAGACACGGGGAGAGAGACACGGGGAGAGAGAGACACGGGGAGAGAGAGACACGGGGAGAGAGAGACACGGGGAGAGAGAGACACGGGGAGAGAGAGACACGTGGAGAGAGAGACACGGGGAGAGGGAGACACGGGGAGAGAGAGACACGGGGAGAGAGAGAGAGACGGGGAGAGGGAGACACGGGGAGAGGGAGACACGGGGGGAGAGGGAGACACGGGGAGAGGGAGACACGGGGAGAGAGACACGGGGGGAGAGAGACACGGGGAGAGGGAGACACGGGGGGAGAGAGACACGGGGAGAGAGACACGGGGGGAGAGAGACACAGGGGGAGGGAGACACGGGGAGAGAGAGACACGGGGGGAGAGGGAGACACGGGGGGAGAGGGAGACACGGGGAGAGAGGGAGACACGGGGAGAGAGGGAGACACGGGGAGAGAGGGACACGGGGAGAGGGAGACACGGGGGGAGAGAGACACGGGGAGAGGGAGACACGGGGGGAGAGAGACACGGGGAGAGGGAGACACGGGGAGAGGGAGACACGGGGAGAGAGAGACACGGGGAGAGGGAGACACGGGGAGAGGGAGACACGGGGAGAGGGAGACACGGGGAGAGAGACACGGGGAGAGGGAGACACGGGGAGAGGGAGACACGGGGAGAGACTCGGTGAGAGAGACTCAGTGTGTAGACTACTCATGACACTCAGGAAGGCTGGGTCTCAGTCGGGGTCTAGAGACTCGGGGTGTAGAGACTCGGGGTGTAGAGACTCGGGTGTAGAGACTCGGGGTGTAGAGACTCGGGGTGTAGAGACTCGGGGTGTAGAGACTCGGGGTCTAGAGACTCGGGGTGTAGAGACTCGGGGTGTAGAGACTCGGGGTCTAGAGACTCGGGGTCTAGAGACTCGGGGTGTAGAGACTCGGGGTCTAGAGACTCGGGGTCTAGAGACTCGGGGTCTAGAGACTCGGGGTCTAGAGACTCGGGGTCTAGAGACTCGGGGTCTAGAGACTCGGGGTCTAGAGACTCGGGGTCTAGACACTCGGGGTGTAGAGACTCGGGGTCTAGAGACTCGGGGTGTAGAGACTCGGGGTCTAGAGACTCGGGGTCTAGAGACTCGGGGTCTAGAGACTCGGGGTCTAGAGACTCGGGGTCTAGAGACTCGGGGTGTAGAGACTCGGGGTGTAGAGACTCGGGCTCTAGAGACTCGGGGTCTGGAGACTCGGGGTCTAGAGACTCGGGGTCTAGAGACTCGGGGTGTAGAGACTCGGGGTCTAGAGACTCGGGGTGTAGAGACTCGGGGTCTAGACACTCGGGGTGTAGAGACTCGGGGTCTAGAGACTCGGGGTGTAGAGACTCGGGGTCTAGAGACTCGGGGTCTAGAGACTCGGGGTCTAGAGACTCGGGGTCTAGAGACTCGGGGTCTAGAGACTCGGGGTCTAGAGACTCGGGGTCTAGAGACTCGGGGTCTAGAGACTCTGGGTGTAGAGACTCGGGGTCTGGAGACTCGGGGTGTAGAGACTCGGGGTGTAGAGACTCGGGGTCTAGAGACTCGGGGTCTAGAGACTCGGGGTCTAGAGACTCGGGGTGTAGAGACTCGGGGTGTAGAGACTCGGGGTCTAGAGACTCGGGGTCTAGAGACTCGGGGTCTAGAGACTCGGGGTCTAGAGACCGGGGGTGTAGAGACTCGGGGTGTAGAAACTCGCGGTGTAGAGACTCGGGGTGTAGAGACTCGGGGTGTAGAGACTCGGGGTGTAGAGACTCGGGGTCTAGAGACTCGGGGTCTAGAGACTCGGGGTCTAGAGACTCGGGGTGTAGAGACTCGGGGTCTAGAGACTCGGGGTGTAGAGACTCGGGGTCTAGAGACTCGGGGTGTAGAGACTCGGGGTGTAGAGACTCGGGGTCTAGAGACTCGGGGTCTAGAGACTCGGGGTCTAGAGACTCGGAGTGTAGAGACTCGGGGTCTAGAGACTCGGGGTCTAGAGACTCGGGGTCTAGAGACTCGGGGTGTAGAGACTCGGGGTCTAGAGACTCGGGGTCTGGAGACTCGGGGTGTAGAGACTCGGAGTGTAGAGACTCGGGGTCTAGAGACTCGGGGTCTAGAGACTCGGGGTCACACACTCAGGGTCTAGAGACTCGGGGTGTAGAGACTCGGGGTGTAGAGACTCGGGGTGTAGAGACTCGGGGTGTAGAGACTCGGGGTGTAGAGACTCGGGGTGTAGAGACTCGGGGTGTA